ACAATTAGTGTCATATTTTTCACCTAATAACACATTTTAAACTTTTATCTACTCAAGAGTACTTGCAGAGTAATATAGAAACTAATTTTATTATCATAGACAATTTATTGAAAATCTTTTTTACAAAAAATATTGTTCAATAAAATTAGTGCTTTTGTATGTCAAAAATTTTAGGGCTCCTAATTTCGGATACCCTATCCGAAATTAAGACACCATTTTGTTCATCATAAGAATAGTTACACATCTTGACAAAAGTCGCAAATATAGGTTTTCTTCTTATCAGCATTGGCGCACATCTCATGACACCACTTGAAGCACTTTATACACCTTATCCACTTCTCACCGTGTGTATCTTCGGAATATAAACTGTCACAAAACATACATTCTGTGTCTCCATCTTCATCGTCTACATCCATATCAGAATCATATCAATTTTTTTCTTTTGCTTTTTTTGGCGTGGAGTTTTTTTTCTGTTGACTTGATTTAATTCGTTGCTTATTTTTGGTTTCTTTTCTTTCAAAGACTTTTTTCTTTCTTGTTCGGCTACACTTCGTTCAAGTTCATCTTTATAAGGTGTACTAGTTATTATCCAACTAGAACCTTTTCGAGGATTTTTTTGTTTGTTTGTTTGTGAGGTATAACTGCAAGAAGGCAGTGGACTAATATCCTCAGCTCTTATCATAGTTGCCGTAGTTTCAGTTGCATTTCCATTGGATGATTTATTTGTTAAGTTATGTTTTGGAGGTGTTCTTTCGATAATGCTTTGTGGTTCTGGTCTTGACTGACCTCTTGTTGGTAATACTTCCCCATGATTTTGATTTATGGGTGGTGGTGTTCTTTCTCTTTGTCTCTTCATTATAAAATCGTGATCAGAAAAGTTATTTTTATTAATAGGATATATTCCAGATTTGCGAAAACCATTCGCGGAAATTTCTGCAGTAGCACTTTTCAAATATGCCGGGCACATAAGCTTACAAATTTGATACTAGTTTATGGTGCGTCCAGGATTTTGCCTTAACCACATCTCAATTTGTTGCGAATAATATGTTTTAAATGGTGACATAAAAGACAAATCTACAGGTTGTAGTTTGTGTGAACTGTGCGGCGGGATACACAAAATTGTAACGAAATTTGCACGTCCTGCTTCTATCACATCTATATTTCTTGTGTGGCTGTAGTGACCATCAAGAATAAGCAGCACTGGGTCTTCACGGGATGGTTTCACGTGAGCTACGAAATGCTGTAGCCATTGGGAAAAAATGTGCTACTGAATCCAACCTGATGGATGGCAAGCTGCAATAGAGCCAGGCGGCGATCCATCTAATAATTCCACTTTCATGTTCTTTCTTGGAAACACGAATAATGGAGGGACAAACCCACCAGCAGCATTCATACAAAATACAACAGTAACTAATGCGCCTCTTTCAGTCGCGGTAACAGATCCAACCTGTTTTTTTCCTTTTAATGTTATAACACGAGTATTCTTGGACTGAACCGTTGTTATGCCGCTTTCATCAACGTTTTAAACTCTTGCGGGGTTGAAGTTAACTTTTTCCATTGACGTTTCTAAAAGATCATAGAATCTGCTGACATTTTCTGGGGTAAATCCCTTAATTCGGGCTTTCGAGATTCCTTGTGGTTTTCTAAGGGGCAAAACTGCGTTTCGCCTCATAAATCCCCTTAACCATTTTTTACCGGCAGATTCGGCATGGGCAAATGGATGACGAAGACCATTTCGTAAAGCTATTTGATATGCAAGTCTCTTGATATCAGCGGTCCCAATTCCGTAAAATCGCCGGTCCATTTCTAGGCAATACGAGACTAAATCTGCTTCCATTTCTGCAGAAAGTACTGGTCTTCTTCCAATTTTAACAGCAACCAACTGCTCCGGAGTTTTATTTTCTTGCTTAACATAATCTTCCAGAGTTGATTTCGGAACAGCAAATAACTTCGAGGCTTTAAGATACCCCATTTCCTTTCCCCTGACGGCACGGATAGCACGTATCATTCGGTCTGGATCCCATTGTTTATGTTTTTTACTTGTTTTTGGCATTTTCTTCTGAAAAGAAACAAAAGTTTTTATGCTAACATGATCATCAATTTAAGGTTCCTAATTTCGGATATCCGAAATTATGGGACTTGTACTATCCGAAATTAGGAATTTTTTATTTTTAAGGTTAGGGCTCTCTAATTTATATGTGATTAAAATCTGCTTTAAATTAGTAGCAAAATCAAATAAAACAGGTTTCTAGCTTACCCCTGCCAAAAGATCAAACTTCAAACAGGAATAAAAACACGAAAAAATAGGCTTTGAAATACGACCGAAAAAAAACTGCACAATAACGTTTGGTGGTTTCGGCACTGCCATCTAACGGGGAGCAGCTCTACTACCTAAACAATTTAAGATAATGTTCTCTGTGGTATTCAGCGTGACATACGTATAGGTTTCTGTTCGCAAATAAAGAAACTTTTTTAGATACACCGCTATCCGAAATTAAGACACTATCCGAAATTAGGCTACTTTCCTCTACTAAAAAAATTAGCTACAAAAATGGGTTTAATAATAAACACTAACAAAACAAAGTAGTTATATGAAAATAAGCATGCAATGACAAATCCTACAACAACTTGTTATAGAAAATGACGGCATCCAAGCAGTGAACGATTTTATATAATATGTACCTGGGACCGCTCATTAACACTAAAAATAATACTACCTCAGAGATAAACCGCAAAATTTGCATGGTCAACAAATACTATTTTGGGTTCAGTCTCCTTTAATCCTCAAGTATATCGAGAAATACAAAAGTAAAGCTCTATAAAAAATATTATACGCCCAGTCTTAACATATGGTTCTGAGACATAGACTCTGACAAAAAGTAATGAAAACATGTTGGTATGTTTTATAAAAGAAATAGTAAGGCGAATCTATGGAGCAGTTAATGACAATGGAGTGTAGAGAAGACGATACAACTTCAAATTGTATAGAATATACCAAGAACCAGATATCGTAAAACATATTAAGATAGAAGTCTAAGGTAGATAGGGCATGTAATGCGGATGGAATAAAATGACCCAGCTAAAAAAACACGTCTTGATAGATCCATTGGTCAGAGAAGAAGAGAAAGACTCAGAACAAGGTTGGTATAGTTACCACTGGTACTACTAGTATACTCTGTACCACTGGTGTACTCAGTGGGTATAGTTTATTGTAAAGCATACCCAGTTGTAGTCGTGTTGACCATATATGTTTTCTCCAATTTAGGTGATTACCTATGTTGATACTCAGATATTTGACATCGTTCCTAGCCGGTAGTAATTTTTAGTTTATAGATACCAAAGGGCAGTTCGCTCTTTTTAAAGTGAAGGTAATTTGAGTTGAGTTAGTATTATTTACTTTGACACACCATAGTTTTGACCCATTTTCTAACTGGTTTAAACAGTGTTGCAAATTTGTACATGCTAATCTTGTATTCGCACGAGTGGCCATTATGACATTATCGTCTGCATACGTAGTAATCATAGTATTATTTGTTTTACATACGTCAGCTGTGTATAGTTAATATCGGGTCAGACCCAGTACACTATCTTGAGGGACTCTATCTGAGATCGGATATAGGGGAATGCAAGCTTCGCCATGATTAATTCAGATCTGTCTCTTATATTTACATATATCTGTATAATTTTTGCTATGGGATGATGTAGCTGTGACTTGGTGTTAGAAGTTGACCTTGTCAAATGCCTGCGAGACTTCTAGGAAGGCAGTTGTACTATAAGACTTGTTTTTGAGAGCAACTCTAGCTTTACTGACTATTCTATATATTTTCCCGATGGCACCATGTTTTTGACTGAAGCCAAATAGGTAGTTTCGTATTCAGTTATTTTCCAAGATGATAGGTTTGATTCTAATAACATGAATATTTTTAAAAAGCTTTGCATTGGTTGGTAGAGTTGGTAGAAGACTTATTGGTTGGTATTATAAGACCTCATTTGAGTATTTACCAGGTTTTGACCCGCGACAAGATTATAACTGGGTGCTTTTTTCGTTTAATTTTGTAATGACTTAGTGATTGCACAAATTTTTATGGGTACCCTCATCTGATATAGGGCGTCCAGTATGTCTAAAATAGGTTTTTTGTTGTCTGCATGAGCTTCTTTCTGATGAGGTTAGAATGATGTGTCACAAAAGTGCTTGGTTTATCTTCATCACTACGAGTCCACCGAAGGCTATATTAGATATTGTTAGAAAGGCTGGACTGAAAAACTTTAACCTAGAGATGAGCCAAAATATACCACTTAGGTCAAGTGTAAGGGTGGTTAAGCGCCCATTCATATTGAATCTAACTAACCTACTAACATTTTTTGTTTTCGAATATTCATTATTGATCATTTTCATTATAATTGTAAATTCTAATTTATTTTAATAATCATTAGAAGAGCACCATTTTAAATGATAGTTTAAACAATAGAAATGAGCGGACTAAATATACGTTTTTTTTAAAATATCCTAGTTCTTTAAAAAGATCCAAAATTAAATTAAAAAGGGATATACTTTGTGTGATGTTTAGAGAAAACCATTTAGTGATATATTAGTCTTCTGATAAAACATGAGCAACCTTAGTATATTTGATAATTCTAAAATAAATTTTAAATTTAAGTTGTGGTGACCTCATCACTAATTCACAGAAAGTATTCCAATATATAATTAATCTCTCAATACTAACATATAGGTGGAATATTTCCGGCATAAACGTACAAGACGAACTATGTCTTGAAGATGGTCCATATCATCCTAATTAAGAGTTACCTTGACTGTAATAATTGTCGATACATCGAGTTTGACATCAAAACACATGCGGGTACTCTGATGATAGTTCAAGATCAAGAAATAGTGGGAGATCCTTTTAGATTTCGGCAGGAACCATAAATATATATAACCGAATTCGAAAAGTCACTCAAGCATAACAACTTGTCTTCTTCACTTCCATTATAGTGCAAACATGAAGCAAGTAAGAACATTTTTCAATATACGTGTGTGTGAAATAAAATCAGTTATATATAATAGTTTAGTAATTCAAAGAGTTTCGTGGAGGGTAGTGCAACAATTCGTGATTTTTTAATTTCTTAGTGGAGTTATGAGATAATTGTACAATAAATGTTTTACAGGCTTCTTTCTTTAGGCTTAAACTAATTTAGCACAATATATTCTAAATTATCATATGCCTATTTCATTTTCCAAGATACCCAAGCAGCATATTAACCACTGTGATACTGTGTTACTAATTTTCAATTTGTTAAAAAATTTATATAATTGTAACAGATTTTCATCGTCGTTAAAAACGTTTCTGTTTGTTCTTAAAGCTCTTTTCTGGTATTTTAAGACTAGATAATTTTCGTGAGAGTAAAATACATTTCTAATCCTTGTGTGGAAATATCTTTCTAAAAAATATTTATTTCAAATTAAGCAAAAGATAAAAGTCTTTAATTATAATTGTACTATTTTTTTTTAGGCAAAGCTTAGTTTATTTAGTTTTTTGTATTCATAGGTCTCTACTAATACTTTAGAATCCTGTTGACTTGTAGTTTTTGGAAAATTTTCAGTATCATGACATCGTTTTTTATCGTTAGTACAAAATTTTTTGTGAAAAAAACTTTTTGCGTAAATCTGCTTCTCCATTTACTTGACAAAGATCCATATTTTTTAACTAACTTCTACAATAACTATGCTATATAGTTTCTATTATTAGTTTATTTAGTCTTTTGCTATACATAGGTCTCCACTAATACTTTTCAATCTTGTTGATTTTTACTTTTTGTAAATTTTTCGATTACATCATCGTTGACCCAATGACTGAACCAAAATATTTTTAGCATTCCTCGATAACACCTATCATCTGACTACTCTAAATCGAAAAAGTATATCTAGAAACATAGATTTTCTTTTCTCGGTCCCTGCTTTTAGTTTCATTATTTTGCTAGTTTGTTTCCATCTCTCTCTTTATTTCTATTCTTAGAATAGTTTATGATCTTTGTTTTCTTTTTGTTTATTTTTATTCCATTTATTCCAAATCCTTAGTACTGTTCATTAATCTTTGTAGTCCTTCTTGGCTATCTTCCAATGGGACATAACATTTGTCGTTTATTTTAGTGCCACCATATATCTGTTCTTTCCATTGTCCTGGCGAAAATTTGATATGAATATATATATATATATATATATATATATATATATATATATATATATATATATATATATATTGCTCTGCAAGGGAGCAGTTTGTAGTAAATATACCCTAGGGTAACCCTTGAATCTTTTGGATACTATATTAATGAGTATCTTGGTTTTTAACTTATCAAAGTGCTTCTCTCCTATTTTTATTATTAATTATTATTATTAATTGTTATCGCGATATTTTATATTGCTATTATATTTATTAGTCATTTTTAAAATTGGCGATTTTGTAGTCTCATTTTATGTTTAATAATATTACATAAAATACAATACTTATTTACTTTTCACAGAATAAAGTAAAATTGCTAGGTTCAATTTTAAAAAACAATGTTTTGTTTATTAATTCACTCCGACACTCCTTTCTTTCTTTCTATATTTAATAATTTTGTTTGTTTTTTCGATGTTTGGTTCATCAAAAAAAAATTGTGGCACTAATTTTTTTGAACTCTTTTTCCCTGAATTCGATTGCACGTATTTATTGCATGTTTAGGTGCTGACTTATGTTTGTAAGTTATATGTATATATATATATATATATATATATATATATATATATATATATATATATATATATATAATCATTAAACTAATACATGTTCTACTTGAACATGTTAAAAATAAAAAAAAAATGACTTTATATTTTAAAAAACATATTTTCGATATGACTTTATTGACGAAATTAATAAATATATTTCTTCTTTCTTTTTTAGATATTAGTCTTGTCTATATTGGTTATCTCCACATTTGGAGCAAAATTAAACCAATATCTTCCTCCAAGACCTGAAAATGACAACGCCCAATACCAACCTCCAGCACTTCCCAATCAACCCTTCTCCGCCGCAAGTCAATCCCAACAACAATTCGCTACTCCAAACTTCCAACAAGCAAGCAGACAATATCTGACTCCAAACAAAGGATCCGACCAACCAGGTCAAGGTTCTAGTCCTTTCGGTCAAGTTGCTGGACGATTTGGACAACAATCTAACCAATTCGGGCTTAGAAATTCTTTTAGTGCCAATGGAAATGGTAACTCTGGCAAACAATATGTAGCTCCCAACAAACAAGATGCTTCCGGACAAAGCTCTAACTCTTTCGGAAACTTCCAACAGCCAAACTCTTTTAATGGAAACGTAAATGGAGGTTCTAATAGACAATACTTAGCACCCAACAAACAAGATGCTTCTGGGCAAAGTTCTAACTCTTTCGGAAACTTCCAACAACCAAATTTTTTTAATGGAAACGTAAATGGAGGTCCAAATAGACAATACTTAGCACCCAATAAACAAGACGCTTCTGGACAAAGTTCTAACTTATTTGGAGAAGTCCAATCTCGTAACAATTTTAATGGTAATGGACAAAGGCCCATCTCAAGCTTTGGTTCAAAATCTAACAATCAAGCACCAAACGCTGGAAACGATAACTCCTTTGCACCATCATTTAACTCTTTTAACCAAAAAGCAGCACCTAATGGACAATTTGGACAGTCAGGTTCATTTTCAAACGGTTTCAATCAACAATCCGGACAAGGACAATACAACGGTCAATTTTCTGGTTCTCAATCCGCCCCAATTGGTTTAATCAGATCTGAATTCAATCCTGATCAAGGAGATGGACATTACAGCTATTCATACGAAACTGAAAATGGAATTTCTGCCCAAGAAGAAGGATTTGTTCAAAATGAAGGTAAATCTGCACAGGGAGGATTCTCTTATACATCTCCAGAAGGTGAACAGATCTCTCTTGAATACACTGCTGACGCAAATGGTTTCGTACCAAAAGGATCTCATGTTCCTGAAATTCCCGAAGCGATCTTGAAATCTATTGAACAGAATAAAGCTGAAGAAGCTCGTGGAGAATACAATGAGGGTTCTTATAGAGAGGAATATAACCAAGAAAGCTCAAATGGAAACAATGGATACCATGGTAATTTAAATAATAAATATCAAGGAAACGTAAATGGTGGATATCAAGGAAACGTAAACGGTGGATATCAAGGAAATGGACCACGTGAACAATCTCCATTTGCTTCTCAAGAAAATAGACAAGTAGCATCTTTATCAGGTCCAAAATCCTTTGGAGCACAAAACAATGGCTATCAATATTCCGGTCCATCAAAATCAAACAACGGTGCTGACCAAGGTACATTTGCGTCCCAGCAAAGCAATCAAGTAACACCTTTCGGAGGTCAGCAGGGCTCCAAATCTTCCTTTGGACAAAATAGTAACAACGGATACCAATATTCTGCTAATACCGCTAAATCAAATTTTGCAGATCAGGGTAGTTTTGCTTCTCAACAAAACCAACAAGTAGCACAATTTAATAAGCAACAAGGAGTTTTTGGAAAAGCAACTGAACCTAAAACATCATTCGGATCTTCATCTCAATTTGGACAGCAAAATGGAAATTCTAAAAATGTTAATAAACAAAACAATGGTTATCAATATCCAATTCCTGAACCATCTCCTTTTTCTTCCCAACAAAATAAACAAATAACTCCTTTTGGATCCCAATTTTCTCCAAAATCTCAGTACGGAGCTCCTGAACAGTCATCATCAGCCAGTCAAAACAATGGACAGTTTAGTTCATTCCAAGGACCGAAGAGTCAAGTTTCAGGATTTTCTGGAAACAATGGATTCAATAGTCAGTCAGCATTCCAAAACAAAGGACAGCAGAGCAGTACATCTGGACAATTTGGCACAGTCCAAGATAGCAATGGTGGTTACAAATATTAAACAATGGTATTGACTTCTATAATCTAGAGCTTTAATATTTATATGTTTTGCAAATGTAAATAAATACACAAAATAATTATATTGTTTTAAATAGTAAAAGTGTTACCCATTCCCTTCCATAATATTTCTTCCTAAATAAAATTATATCAGATATGTTTTTTTCTATTAGTCCATTACGAAAAATAGTCCTTTACAATCAGTTAATTAGTAGTGTTAATCGAATTTCGTCGAATAGCTTATACAAGTAATACAGTGGTAGATATGACTAGAGGCATACCAATATACTAGTTTCCTCTCAAGACATTTATTGAAGTTTGAAATCCAATGAAGATGAGGTGAGATCCGAACATCCAATTCGGATGATCGGGTTGAAAAGATTTGGAAAAAAGCCCAACTAAAATTGATCGAAACTAAGGTATAAGGTAAAATAGGCTAATGTGCATAGCAAATATACAATGGTACTTAACAAACGTGGATTCAAGGAATAAAATTAAATTAAATTGAATCTACACAAATGCAAAAAATCTAAATTTTAGTCAAATATCGGTCAAATCCATGAACTATGTTAGGTATATAAAACAAAGTTTCTATTTTCCTTTTTAAGATTTAACTCTTTTCGTCCTCACTCTCTCCCTTTCTTTCTCTCTCTCTCTCTCTCTCTCACTCTCTCTTTCTCGTTCTTTCTCTCTCTCTCTTTCTCTCTCTCTCTTTCTCTCTCTTTCTCTCTCTTTCTCTCTCTTTCTCTCTCTCTCTTTCTCTGTCTCTTCAGTCCTGACCGCCGGGAGGGAGTGTAGTGGCCATCATGATATCGTGTATTGTACGTCTCCTAAAATTTGTGTCTTTGATCGAGAGTTTTTTTCATTCTCGGGTATATTAGGTTCTTCTTCTATTTCTTCAGGGACTTGGTGAAATTGATCATCTGTTCGTTCTCAGGGTTCTGGCTTTAAAGTCTCTTGTTATGTAGCGTATTTTTTTTAAATAGATCTGTCGGCTGATTATTTTGATTATGGCTCTCAATGTCTTTACATATATTGGGACGTTGTTTATTATTCTGGCATTTCATTGTTGAGGTTTTTTAAACTAGCTTTTGCCTTTTACTTTTTATACCATTTTGATTTCTTCTATTCTCAACAATATTAAGGGTTTCATATATTATTCGATGTTTCCGTTTCACAGGATTATTTATCTTTGGGTGAATGACTGGTATTACACAATGTTTAATAATCTCCCATATTTCTTGTGATGTACGTTTACCAATAACCAGCATGCCATTTTGCACTTCTTGGAGAAGGTCATTTCTTTAGGTTCTTTCTTACTTCTATTCGTTTTGTCTTCTCATTACTTTAGCTACAAGGAGTGCCCCTGGATATAATCTGACTGTTTGGATTGATGATCTCTAGTGAACACTAGTGAGGATGTAATCGATTTGATTTCTAGACCTATCTTGAGGAATTTTCCAATTATAAAGTCGCCGTACATGATACTTAAATCGAGTAATCATGATAAAACAGTTATTTGTGATATCAAACTCAAGTAAGAGATCTACTCTTTCGTATCTCTTACATATGCCTAACTTTGTTAGTACATTTTTAAAGGCATTTTGTTTAGTTTTACCGACTTTTGCATTAAAGTCACTGCATATTAAAGTTAGCTCTTTATTTGAAATGTCGGCGATTGTTGTTTCCAATTTTTCGTAAAATTCCTCGATTTTTATATCGTCTGCTGTGCTGGTTGGGGCATGAGCTGTATGATATTAAGTTTATGTTGTTTCAACTTCAGTTTAAAAAGAACTATATTATCGCTGTATATATCCCATAGCTTTTAATTCAACGGCAAGTTTTTATAATCTTGGTGAGACCAGAATGGCAACACCTGTATGTAAAATAGCCCTCTCCTAACCAATGTGTTTCAACTAGTCCATAGATTTCTACCTTGCTAGCTTCCTTTCAATATAATTAATAGCTTACTTTTAATTAAACGAGTATGAAACATACATTAAAAACAGAGACTTCGACAAATCACATATATGAACATATGCCTGGGGTAAGCAACACAAAGTACAATGGAAAGATGCATTATTAATCATAAAAGAAACAGACATGAAAAAAAAACAAAATCAAGAAAGCAGCTCCGATCCTACTTAATAAAGAAAAATGTGTGGCAAACCCATTAGCAGAATGTAGCCGGCTCTGGTTGTCAATACTAAAAGAATAAGTCAACAATGAGAATGTACTAACATTAACGGATTAATAGAAAGTGGGGGACACATCGGTTACAATTGGTAATATAATACATATCATGCGGTCCATATGTATGGAATAAATTCATTTTTAACGTTATTAAGTGAAAATTATTTTCACTACGTGAAAAAAACTTGAAACAGATCGATTTTTATTCTTAAATTAATTGACAATTTACAGTATGAAAATATTATACCCCTCCAGCACCCCCTTTGAATTATAAGCACCCCCTCGAAAATTTTAAATAACAAAGGGGGTCGTATGGTACCTTGTTAGAAGGGATTTTAGTCCTCTGTTCAGTAATGTAAAGTTTTTTAAGTTTGGTGCAACAATAACTGAGAAAATTGATTTTTAAAATGTAAAATTTTGATAATATCTCTATTAAAAAACTTTAGTTGAATGAAGATAATAATGTCACATAATATTTAAAATGTATTTTTCAATGTACTTTATAATTAAATTAAATGGTCAAAATGACTACTATTTATTTCTTGACAATAACCGACGCGATTTTGGAATTATCGTATGACATTTTGTATGACTCCGGGAGTTATTTTGTTAATTTCTTCCGTTATCCTAACTTTTTAATTAGCAATACTGTTTGGTCTATTAAAATATACTTTAGATTTTAAATAAACCCATAAGAAGTAATCGAGAGGAGTCAAATCGGGGGATCTAGCCGGCCATTCGATCGTTCCACGTCTTCCAATCCACTTATTGGGAAAAGCCTCGTTTAAATAATTTCTGCCTATAAGTGCAAAATGCGGTGGAGCTTCATCTTGTTGGTAGTAAATAGGTCGATCTATCTTATTTGGATGATTAACGTTAGGAAAAAAATTTTCGTAATGTAGGCACTAAAAAGTTAATCAAAAAATCTAAATAAACCTTATTATCAACTGAGCCCTCAAAAAATAAGGACCAATAATTTTATTGTTAATGATACCAGCCCAATCGTTAATTTTTTTAGGATATTGCTTATGAGTCTCACACACCCAGTGAGGATTTTGCTCTGCTCCAATATCTACAGTTCTATTTGTTAACCGTTCCGTTTAAATGAAACGTCACTTCACCAAAAAAAACTATTTTGTTTATGAACTGCAAATCTGCGTTCATTCTGTCCATCATCATTTCACAGAATGCTTGTCTTCTATCAGGATCATCTTCATTTAACTCCTGAACCAACTGAACTCTGTAAGGGTGGTATTTTTCTTTATGTAAAACTCTCACAATATATGATTTACTTACGTCATTGACGGCGGCAAGTTCTCGAGTTGTCTTATACGGATTTTCCTCAATCTCTAGTAGTACATCTAACTTTTTTTCATCAATAAATTTAATATTTCTACCTGGTTTTTCAATATTTTTTACATGTCCAATATAACATGCAATTATGCGAACTGTAGACTTCGAAACTTGTTGACCAGGGTATTTATTATTAACATTTGACAAACCTCTTTTTAGGCTCTTGTTTTATTACCACAACCAATCATAATTAAAATGTCTATTCTTTTAGTCTCGGACAAATGTGTCATAATTAAATTTAATATGCGCACAAATATTATACTCACGCCTTCTAGTAACCTTAAATACCTAAATGACAGCAGCCTACTAGATTCATATCAATTTTTTATTGGCTTTTTGACTAATATTTTATTATCTTCAAAGTTTTTTCCCTAATGTTTAACAGAACAGATACGAAAATACCTGATTATTTCTAAAGTATATTTTAATAGATCAGGCAATATTGCTGATATAAAAGTTAGGATAACGGAAGAAATTAACAAAATTCAATCGTATGAGAATTCAAAAATCGCCTCGAAAATTGCCAAGAAGTCAATATTGGTAGTCAAGTTGAACATTTAATTTAATTGTAAAAATCAATTTTTTCAGTTATGATTGCACAAACTAAAAAAACTTTATACTGCTGAACAGAGGACTAAAATCCCTTTTTAACAAGGTGCCACACGGCCCCCTTTGCTATTTAGAATTTTCGAGGGGTGCTTATAATTCACAGGGGGTGCTGGAGGGGATATTATTTTAATACTGTAAATTGTCAATTTAAGAATAAAAATTAACCTGTTTCAGGTTTTTTTTACATAATACATAATAACGCTAAAAATGAATTTATTCCAGATATATGGACCAAATGGTATACAAAAATACAGTACATAAACTAAACATACTGTACATAATAACAGACAAATTACACAAATTTTTCTGATAGTCCGATAGAAAGATTGTGATCTTGTGAGTGTTTCGAAATAGCTTGTGGTGTTTTGTCTTTTTCTTTTTCTATCTTGTAGAATTTTTAGAGACTTGAACAGGTCACAGATATGCAAAGATGCATATCTGTGACAACGAACACAGAGTATAATGGAAAGATGCATTAATAATTATAAAAGAAACAGAGTAAGTGGCAATCAGTCAGTCACAACATAACTAATACATCAAGTAAATTACATAAAATAATAGTTAAATGATATGATTTAAGTACTGAAATTAAAATAAGGTAAAAAATAATATAATCAACATCATCGGTGTGTTCAAAAATCGATATACAAAATATATACTAGGTGACATAGAAATCCAAACACCCAGTTTAAATGATTTTATTTTAATAAATTTTTATAAGTACTTAATGAAGCATAATAAGTAAATGATTAAAATTTCAAAATTATTGTTTTAAAGCCCCTTTACCTTTAATAATGTGTGGATGCACCCCGATGTGTTACGCATTCTCCAACGTGCCTAGGCATGCTT